ATCTATCGTTTTATCTCCATTGGTTTCTTAAAAAGTAGGGCCAATACCTAAATTCAGTGACGAGTGAGTACATTTGGAATTTCCAGATCTTGTCTGCCTCATCATCGACAGATTTAGCCGTTTTAGCAAAGAACGCAAACAACACGGGCCAGAGAATTAACTAAAAAGGAATTATATATAAAATTTAGCTCTAGTGCAGGTTATGCAGCTAAGATAAAAATCACCATTTGGAGATAAACATCACTTCAAACAAACTAAGAAAAGATTACGAACTTTAGTTACTTTTTCTCCATATACTTTTGCCGTAGTTCTAGAGTATTTTAAGATTAAACGAGAGTACCTTAAGCAGTACAAAGTACTCCAGTATAACAAGGTAAGCCGCTGCTGATTGTGAGGGACACGATGTGTTACCGTACTCTCCAACAAAGCTACAGTAAGACGATGAAGAGCCCATAAACGACTTTTTGCAGGTGTCCGACTCTCGAAGAGCTAAGAATAATTTTAACATAAAAATATTTGAGTAAGTGCTGAATAAGAAAAACTGCAGCTCAATTACCGCTGATGTCGGTAGTGAATAGCGACAACCAAACCCAAGATAATGAAGCTTTAGCGACTGAGATAGACATATCTCGGTCTGGATACAAGACTGCGTGTATAGCTGCAGCACTACTGAAACACAAACATAACTTAGCTTCTGCTCAATTTCCTTCTTCATTCTGACCTACCTAGACATGACTAAAGCGACTAGAATGAGAAAATTAGTGAAATCTCTGAGTATCATCAACTTGACCCTAACGACAATTGGGCCAAATAATTCCGATAATGGAATGTAGAAGAATATTGTAGCATAGCACCAATAGAGTAGAAAGAACGCAGAAAACACACGAATGGGGTAGACGTTTGAAAGCATCTGAAAAGCACTTATTTACAGGAAATTGTGATGGAAAATGTAGAAATCCATTTTCGATAAGAAGGAGTAAATAAAACTCACGAAAAAATCCGAGATAGAGCTGTCACCAACAAATTTGAAAAGTAGCATAGCAACGAGGAATACCAATGTTATAACACAATCAAAAACCTAAACAAAGGGCAGTCTTTTTTCTCCCTGAATATTCAATGTTGGCGTTCAAGTCCAATTATTGGGTACCCTAATGAGCTTTCTCAG